CCGATGGGAGGGAGATTTTAGAAAAAAGTATACACTCCTTTTGGCTCTGTGCCGCGTCTGATACTGCCTGGTCAATATAACGAATGAGGGGTCCAGTTTAAGACTTTCAAAGAAACGGAGTGAGGGAAGACACGGGAACTATTCGATTAAAGCCCTGATCATGCAAGACCTAGACTCAACTCGAATTAGAGTCTTCAGCGGTGATGTGATGATTGGAGACGATTAGAGGGGAGTTGGCTTTATAGTTCCTGACTAAAAACACTGGTGAATTTGAGCGAGATATGTTACGCAGTTCCGCTTTAGCATGGGTGGGTAAATTGTGTGAATCTATGTCGCATTCTTAATATGTAGAAAATTGACTGGTGATTCCAAAATCCAACCTTTTCATTGACAATTGCCGTTGCCTAGAGTTGGTTGTGACTCGTGAGAATCAAGTATTGAGCAAATATTGGTAATGGGGAATGGCGGGTAGTGTTGCCGGCTGCACGCGGAAATAGACGTATCGTACTGTATTGTCAACAAACTACCTCGGAAGGTTTGGCAAGAACAGTTTGAGGGGCTTGAACCGACAAGGAATCATGTCGAATCATCACGGGCGGCTTAATCCCATCGAGGTATTATTGCATGATTGTTGAGAGCGTGTCGACCTCGCATGACTAGCTAAAAGAGAATCCTATATAGATATAATCTTCGGACGAGAGTCTACATTTGGATGAGCATGTACGAAAGAAGAAGGAAATGGAATGATTTCATTTGATTTGATCCTCAAACCATCCTATTGTGTTAGTCATCATGAGAAAATATCAACCTTGTCGTACCCGTATTAAGAAATCCACTTTGTGAATGGTCCCGCACTCAGCGGACTGAAGGGAGGGATTGGACTGAGTCTGGAAAGCGGCAGCTACGACATGACAGGGGAAACTATTCGAGTCCTATCTCATGTATGCAAGACGATGTACAGGGTAGCATCGACACTAAACCTTGTGATGCCGTATACCTTGCTCCTTATTTTGCCACCTAAACATGAATCGAGTAACGGGCTAAACTTTAATTACGAGCGTATACGAAGAAAGGAAAGTCACATACTCACAGACTCACAGACGGGCTCGAGGCGGGTTATCTCCAGTTCCATGTTGGCGACTCCAGAATTCAGATGGATAAATATGTGTACCGAGTAGATAGATGCATGTATGTAAGTGTGTATGTATGTGTGTATGTATGTGCATTGTGCACACTGCACCATCTATACCATCTATACCATCTTTCTACATGCACACTTTTCCTTCTATATTCGATGAGTGATATCTAGGAACCGAGAGTATGTACTTTGAAGCAAGCAAGGTTGATTATTTCGTGCAGTTCTGGACAACGCTATGGCTTTCTCTTCCTAGGTTAACTTCCATGGAGATGTTTTTGGATATTGGAATGTTTTGATTGGCAGTTGCAGTTACAATCATGTAACACAAACTGAGATAGGGATTTGTATGAAATATAGGGAGAAGATTTCCCGGTCGTTTTACGTACTGTATCATCATTTTCGCCGAAGAAAGATTTGTTACATGGGGGGAAGGACTTGGTCAGATCACTGATCAATCAAGTCCGGTCAATGTTTAATATTTGAAGTTTAATGTTCAATATCAAACCAATTCAGGCATTGAGACAATTTGGGAGAGGCATGGCATGGTATTGGCACAAAGCGTAGACTTGTCTTGAGTCTTGACACCGAGCTCCCCCCTCAGCCTACATGTGGGGATTGAGCAGACTGAACACTGAACTCATGCGTTTGCAATTCCAAATTCTGGATCCATTTGCTCCATTCTTTGTCAAAAACAAAAATCAAGATTTGGGGGCTAAATGATTGGGTCATATGCCTTTCGTGATCCCCCATACAGTCCTCGTAGTCCGAAAAATGGAGATTGTATGTATGTGCGTGCTTCAAGCCTTCCAGGGATTTTTGTGATGCTCATATCAATTTGTTTCGTCAACATATACGAGGATCTCAAAGAGGACAGAAAATAAAATGTAAAAGATGGGTGGGAGTGGATTTCCGTGTCGCACATACCTGCTTGAAATAACAGTAGAAAAGTTAATCATGGATCGATGATCGTGGCACATATTATTCATAGAGGGATGGATGATGGATCACCGAATACAACTCCTTTTATCCAAATATGCAGTGAAAATTGGAGAATATGATCTATCATATTTTCATAATCCATCCCAGTCGTGGAGGCGTTAAGTGTCTCTTATTGTCGCTGCTGCTGCTCTTATTGTTGTTGTTGTTATTGTTGTTGTTGTTGTTGTTGGATGATCAAGTTAGTTGTTCAAGAGACTTCATTAACAACCTGATATCTATTGAGTTTGATACTAATTGTTCTGATACCAAAACAAGTTGCTACTAGATCGCCCCTAAATGGCGATCTATCTAGTCTCATTTTCCCCTGGTTCTTTGGATAAAATAGGCGTCGCCCTTGAGAAATGATGCTTTTCCCATAATTCCCATAATCCCATTTTTATCTCTTACTAAGTCGCTTCCACCACTCACAGACGCGGGTAGTAGATAATCAAACCAAAGGCCTGCTAATGGATTCCCATGACCGTTATGTCGGGAGCTGCTACTGCGGGTGAACGATTTTAGTTAACACAAAGCCACGACTTAAGTGCACAACACTATGATTTCAGTACCATAAAAATGCTTATCTGAGAACTAAGATCTGGAATATCTCAAGGTTCAATCTGGACGACATGTCCTCAGAATAACTTCAATGTCATGTATATGTTCTGCTCAAAACTTTATGACCTTTTCGACTCAGTCCCGGAAGTTAGCAATGACTAGGAATTCCCCTCGCACCACTCATTACTCTCCCACTTTTGCGTACTGCGCCCTTTCAGCCACACACATCTCACCGAGTGAGGAAAGCTGCAGGCGCAGAACCGCATATCACATATTCTATCCTAACGAACCCTTGCTAAAGTAACGGCAGATGTGAGATAGATGTTGCTTTGCATCTGTAACTTTGTGAAATTGTGACCTGGTGGTATTCAATGTCCGCTCTTCCGAGAAATACATTCAACGATGGATGGATGTGCATTCTGTTTCTCCTCTTTCGGTCGAATGTCGCGAGTATAGAGTACCACAAGATAGTGGAACCGAAGGGTAAAGATGTTTCTCGTTTGCGATCACTTGTTGCCTTTCGAAATCGAAGGATTTCATGTTCATCCTTGACAATCCACGCTGCGCACTCCGTCTCTGGATCCTGTCGGCGGAAGTCACGGACATTTTATTCGATTATTTGGCTGGGCACGTCTGAATTGATCATCTTTTAATCATCTTAGAAGACGAATTATGGGACAAGAGTGGAGATGAAAAATCAGAAAGAGGGGAAGAGAGCGGAATGGCAGGGGAATGTGCGGACAAAGAGCTTGAAAGTGGGCAAATTCCCCCCCCTGGTGCCAGGTATATTTTGTTGGTCAGCTGAGAAAGATGAAAAAAGTGATATGGAGTGACATTATCATTTTGCAACGTTCGCAAAATCGTAATCCGCATCGATTTCTCTTCACAGCATTTAAATCCGATGATAACTTCAATCTCGGCAAGCTGAAGTGGTCATCCCAAATCAGGATCAAGATGCAAAGTGATTCATCGTGAACTCACCCGTGTCAACCAATAAAACTCGCCATTTATTTGTTAAGGGAAGGAGGACAAACAGTTATTCCGACGAATCCAATAAACCCCCGAAATATCTGATATGACAGAAAACGAGCACGAATCATCAATAAAGTAATGAATGCAGCCAGATTAGACAATAGCCAGCGGCGGTAAGAAGAGAGTAAATGTAGATATCTGTCAAATTATGAAGCTTACCACCACTCGACTCCTGCACGTTGGTTACGTAGACAAACGAAACCGAACACAATCACATATCACATGCCAATTGGGGATGGAGAGAAAAGGAAGGTTCGGTTCGGTTCGTTTCAGTGCAGCGACATCCTTCAACGAGTAGGCTATGTGGTACCCAGATGATCATCAATCCGCAATCAGCCATGGATTATACATCAATCTTTTAAAGTTTTTTATGATTGAGTTGGATGACAACTCATTCACAGACCCGAACCCCGACCCCCCTTCATTGTATTGTCCAAACGAGAAACGAGAAACGAGAAACGAGAAACGAAAGATTGATAGTGAGGCCATTCCGGTGCCAAGAGAAGAATCTGAGAATTATACATATCGAATGCGACTGTATATCAGATATATCATGTCTTTTTTTAACCATTCCCAGATGATTCCAATCGATCATGTACAGTATCAGCGACTCTCACCACCTGCATGTAGGCAAACTTTCTCACTTGCCATCATCCCATTATCGCATCGTCACAACATGCTCAATCGTACATGATCAAATTTTAGAAATGGCTACAATTCTCTCGTTTGAGACCTATAGCGTATGATCTTATTCAATACTTCCTTCACCTCAAGGCTTAGCTTGCCAATATTGGCAATTTGAAAGCTACGGAGTATTCATTCAAAAGATTCCCCATCCTTCCTTCGATAAACGTGGACCCCCTGGTTGAACTTTGAGCGAGTGGTTGAAATGAACATGTCACCGACTGACGTCCATGAGTCTTTGATCCTAGTCTCTTCCTAGTCTCTTCCTAGTTCATATCTCCCGTGAAATCTGGCCGACCGCTGGCTACACTGATTGACCCGTATGATTTGTTCTATTCGTTACATTTCTATCCTTGGCACACTCCCCATCCTATTTTCTGACGCTAAGAGCACGCATGTTCAGGGTTGACACGCATCTCTCAGCCCAGGCCTTCCAAAACATTCTCACTAGAACACCAATTTCCTTCTAAGCATTCGTGCGAGTAATCTTTCTGACCGACTCGAAGTAGATCAAACATCAGCTAACCCTTTCCCGATTTTTTTGGTTCCCTCTTACTCCAGACCCTTAACTACCTCCCTAGTCCCCTTCTTCCTAGTTTTTCCATTAGCATATACCGAGAGACAACAACTCAAGGGCAGCCAGCCGACAGTGAAGAAAAAAATTGTTGAACACAAACCGGGGCCATTACGCCGCACGCACGTCAGTAGTCGCCCACCCACTCCATTCTCTCCATCCATGGATTGTCTAGCACTACTGTACTGTATTGCTGAAGCCCTGTTATCACGATAGACGAATTTATCAAACTAACTAAAGCATCTACTAGACTTGGATTAGAGTAGCAAGATTTGTTAATAGTTGAAACGAAGCGCGCGATTGTCGTTCGTTAGAAACAAACGCCTAATCCAAGTAAGTACTGTATTTAGCTCTGGCATTATTGCCTAGACTAATTCCCCCCCAGAGAACCCCAAATCATAGTCGCTTCCCGCACCGCTGGGTCGCCTACACAAGCATTATTCAACCATCCCCTCCGTCAACGCTACCGCCACACCATCGGCATACGCAGTGCCGCATCCATACTAAATCTTCGAGATTGATAACATTGAACTCATCTATTCTTAAATCGAATTAAGCTATACCGAAGCTTCCTATCGAACTGTCAATTGATATCACGTGTATAAGTATTAATTATAAGACGACTTACTTATCATTCCCCGTCAACGCTTCGCATTTGTGCAGGGGCGTGCCAAGGATTCATCCGAGGCTTTGGTATCTCTCTCTGCGCTAGTCACTGTAAGTTAGCTTCCATCATTAGACAATATTCCCATGGGAAAATCAACAATGACATCGATATCAATCAATATCAAAGACTTTCTGAAGCTTTGAAACTTCAAATCTCTGTCAGGAGAAGATTTTTGATCTCTATCGTAAAGAGTGCATTTGCGCCTTATGCGTATCTGCTTCACCCAATTTTAATTGATTCATACTGACAGATATAAGTTGTCCAACATCAATCATTTTTGCGGGCCCCAACACACGGGAATTATCCAGTCTTCACCTCCCTCTGCCACCAAGAAACAAATATACATTACAACAAATCTATCAAAGCATTGTGAATAGATACAATTTCAATCCTTTATTTACGAAGATACAAATTAGAGGTCTACGACGACGCGAAACTTCTATCGTACTTCTATCCCTCGACTCACTTTCGAGAATTGTTTATTGACACAAAAGAGGGCACGACGCGTCGTGAGTAGTTTCTGCCATTTGCTAGCCCAGACATTTAGGGGATATCAACTGGATAAAATAACCGTAATCGTACGAATTTCTTCAGATCATCCAACTAACCGCTCACACCAAGATCCTTCTGGGTATTTGTGGTCGGGCATACGCTACAACTTCCCTCGATACCATACCAATCACGGCCCAAACCCGTACACTACAAACGGCAGTATCAACAGAAACGATTCTCCATTTGGAAGAGCTACAGTACAAGTCTCCTGTCATTACTTGTCCTATATCCACCACTTTGGAGACAAGATCGGACGGACAGAACCATTACACGGCACGCCAAAATAGTAATAATAGGGGTATCAAGTCGAAGAAGATCAATCATATCCGTTTATTCAACCTAAGGGCGGGCACTTTTTAAGTACATCTTCGTTCCTTCAGTGAATTTCAAAGAGAAAAAAAAGAAAGGAAGAAAAAAAAAGGATTGTTTGCATTGTCAAGCAGACTCTCCGATTCTTCCTCCAGAGATCGAGACGTGACGACAGTTCGTATTACCTCCGCAGATATCCGTGAGATTCCGAATTCAATTCCAACCGTCGTCATAAGTATTTGTAATACTACGAGTTCGACTTTCCCCTCTCGCAAAACGGCCAAAAGTGTTCTGGACTTTCCTCTGCATCATCATATCGAAAGATTGAAACGCGCCCCTACTCCACTGTGACTAGGATAATATTGTGAAGAGAAGTGGGTTTGTGGTCTGTGAACAGACCTAGATTCTCGCTCAGTAGAAGTCATTGAAATTAAGGTTTAGCAACTCTCAATCATAGGAATTAAACATTAATTGCCGTGACGAGACATCTTTATATCGTGTCATCGTTACATAGACACACTCGCAACACCGCCAGGAATTTTTGGCACTGAGAATAAGGATTGCAAAGAGATCTACAGAGCTCTCTCGTCCAAGACTTCTTAGACTTGACACTAAAGGTAATTTTGACGCACTTCAACTGTATCCTCGCGATTATCAGCTGATGGAGGCTTTCTCATACAGGCATAGCGCATACACGATTCAGTCCCAGCGATTTCCAAGTTTACCAGGTTGGCCATCCATTGCGAAACGGGCGTGCAACGATTATTACCACCATTATTGCCGGACTCCCAGTGCCAGACTATCACCCTCAACGGCGCATCCTACTACCTAGGGCTTACGGTCGATTCCCAAGAACGATCGTTTTCTTCAGTCGATAAACTTTGGTGTCAACTTGACTAGCAGACACCACTAAGATATCCCGAATTCACGCATTGCCAATAAGTCACCAATATCTACTACGGCTACGCACAAACGGGTCTAGCTCCTCACTCTTGCGTTGGGAACATCTTGGACACTCATCCCTCATCCCCCATCCCTCATCCGCAAGCCAAGGAATCATCATCGTTGCTTACTCATTCATCATTTGTGGAATCTCGAACAAGCCATTACGAGCACTCGGTCCATAACACCTTTTTTATTTCTTTGAACTGAAAGAAAAGAGAAAGGAAGTTTTCCGAACCCCACATCCACTATCCCAAACCAAGCATACCGAGAAATCATTTTCTTTCCCACTGCCAATTGTTCAAAATACCATCTGCCACTGCACAATTCTGATCCAGCAAGCTCGTGGAACTAAACTAGATCGGATCTAACGATTTTATTCCCTCCTTGAGTCAAGCGGAATAAAGTATAGGAGAAGATTGGAGTTCTACTTGCATTCAGGTAAAGTACGACCATCCTCACGATACTTACGATACTACCACACTACCACACTACGACACCACTACGCACGCGCTATCTACGACGCCACTACAATAAAGCGAAACTTTAAAAAGCACAGACTCGAGACACCGAAGCAGAAGCAGAAGAAGCCGAATTACCAGAACCGCAGGCACGCATGAAATCCATAGATTGACACCCAGCATTTCACTAAAATCGAATCACATCTGCAAGCGAAAAGTGGGCCACCAAACAATACAATCAATACCTAGCACAGTACCTACGTAGGTACCTTGCAAGGATACTGTACCCTCGGAAATCGGTCATAACGATTTGCCACTTTCCCGCTTTTATCGATTCTTGCGGGTGAACAATTGAATTGAATTGGATTGATTCGTTCAATTCAACTTTTTTGAATTTTTTTATTTTTTTTTGATTTTTAATTCGGTTGAATTGCATTAATATTTTTTTCTCTCTCTTATTGTGGAGACGGACCAATTGGAAATTCCTTTTCACCATTTCTTCATCAGCCCAAGGAAAAAGAGAATCAAAACAATTCCTCTCGATTCAATTTTATTAATTGACGATCATTGCTCTGATCATCCTGAGGCACTTTCATCATTACGGAGCATCGGTACCTACCCTGACCTGACCTGACCTGCCCTAGACTAGGTATCCTCCCAGGTATCAAATCAGTATCAATCAGTCAACCCATCAGTCAATCCATCAATCCATCAGTCACTCGTCAGTATCAGCATCAGCCACTCTTACCTTTCCCTTTTACATTTCACTCTTCACTCTTACCTGGGTACGGTGCGGTACGGTACGGTACTCCACAAAACTCTGATCTTTTTTTCTCTTCTTTTTTTCTCTTCTCTTCTCTCTCTTTGATTATTAATAAGAAGAGTTAAGAATTCCCCCCCAACGATTTTACCTTTTTATCTTTTTATCATTGAAGAAGCCACCACCTTCAATCCATCCATCCACCATCCACCACTAAATCAATTCACCATCATACCATCAATTCAATTCATCAATTCACCTACTACGACCACGCTACCACACTACCACACTACCATTCACACTTACCTCGAATTGGCAATCCAAATAATCAATCCAACCACTTTCATCCATTTATTATACGCCCTCCTACCTTGTTACATACACCTCTCCCTCTCTATTCCCAATTCCCACCATCCTCTCCAAAGTCTTAAAAAGGTTACGGTAATTTTTTTATTACACACCACACGCTACACTAGTGTCAACCTCTTTTTTAAATCTTTAGATCATCATCGTCAAAAAATTCCAATCCACCGCGAACCTTTGGAACTTGAGTCGAACTTGACTCGAACTTGACTCGGTTTCCCAAGACACCGGTCTTCGGAAACTTTTTGCCAACTCCAGTCTCTAGTCCTCGAGTCTTGTCCATTCTGGGAATACTCCACACACTACACTACACTACCTTCTCACTACCAACTTGATCATCAGAGTTTCGATCTTCAACTATTTACTAAACTTTAAATCCCATAAAGACCCATATTCCATCTCAGTCCAAGCATCATAAGTTGCTTTCTCCTCAAAGTTAGTGTCCTTGGGATTTCGACCAATCAATTGTCCTTTCCATCAACTTCTCATCACTCGAGAAGTCTACTTAAAGGGCATCCGCTCCCAAATTCTAAAAATAAATCAGCTCATTCTTTCTTACTTTCGACGGACTTATAAGTTTCAACTTGAAGTATACACTAGGCAACGTCAAGTCTATACTTAAAGAATCTTTCCAAGTGTGATATGTCCCTGGCCTCCACACAGCATCCATTCAATAATACGTTACCTTCAACATCCACCAACGACATTGAGAGTAAGAATTCCCCTGACGAGACAGAAGCAAACATAAGTACGATTATTGGGGCATATACAAACGGTCAGAAACACACCTCTATGGAACGAGGGTCTACCGCATACACGCAGTCAGGTTTGCAAACGCCCTATCCACACGCCTTCACAGACGCTCAATCTGAAGAATCCCCTGCAGATAATACATCTGCTGCGCAGTATCCACCACAACATCAAGACGTTCGTTCGAACCAATACTCAACAACAGCTACTCCAACTTCCGAGTACGGTGCTGCTTATCCCCCATCGTCGGCGCGTTCAGCCAACTTTGATCATTTACACAGAGCACATTATTCGAGCAATAATAGCAATAGCAGTGGAGGAATGGCTCAACCAACAAGTCCGTCAATACCTTTGCAAGATGGCCGTTCAACCCATCAAACTTCGCAAATCAAATCTGACCAGGATGTTCCTATAGATCCATCAATTGCTGCCTCCAGCCCAACTTATCCTCCGTATAACCCACAGCACGCCACATACTCCGCACAAGAACAGATGCATCACCCATATCCACCGACACATTCCGGCGGCTCGATGTACTCGCAACCAAGACCCAATTGGCACGGTTATGCCGACCCCTCTGCACCCAATCCTAACGTCGCAAACCACCCAAATCACCCAAATGTCGCAAACCACCCATCCGGAATGGTACCTGCCCCTTACACTTCTGCCAGTCCCCAAGCCCAATCGCTCCCAGCTTCAGCTGGACGACCTAGCCAAGTAAGTCACATCTTCTATCCAGTTCACTGTGCGCGCATTTTCTGCGGTAGATCCGAAGCGCGCGTCGCATTGTTTTGATGTGCAGAACGCGGCGCGAGAATCGACGCGTGATTTTTATCAAGATCTTTTCCTTTAATGTCACTTTGCAGAACAACTAAGAATTAACAGGACGCGCGCTTACCCCAGATTTACTCATTTGTTCCTATCCCTGGATCTAGTCAACAGAAGCGACCTAGAAGACGATTTGAAGAAATTGAACGTATGTATAAGTGTGGACATCAAGGATGCGAGAAAGCGTATGGTACATTGAACCATCTTAATGCTCACGTAACCATGCAATCCCATGGAAACAAACGTACTCCAGAAGGTATGTTGATTTTTACATGTAATTCTACATTCATTCGTTGGACCGCCGGAGAATCATTCGAGATTTCTACGTGTGCCCTACAGGGTTTTCGCATTGTCTTCACACGGATAATTCGTCGGGGCCAAGTGCCATTTACGGGTAGTTACAAGAGGGCGT